TCTAAAGTAATACAACATTCGATAAAATTTAAGCCTAATGTATTTTTGTAACATCTTAATAGGAAAACATCTGACCAAAATTGCTCCTGAAAGGAAGAAAACTTCCTCTTCTTTACATTTTCTTAGGAAGATGATGCTGAGTGCAATCAACAGCAAAGAAACTGTACGAACAAACCAACAAAAAACAGAAAGTGTCGATTATTTAGGTTCTTTGACAGCCAATCAGCATAGCTTTCTTCTGCACGCCATGTATCCTAAAATGTTGACGTTTTGTGGGGCAAAGCATAAAAAAAAAGCCTTGTAACGATTAGTGTACTGTCATGACTGTTATCATAAATTTGCAGCTTTTTCTTTCAAATTCACAAACTTGAAGCCATGGTAGCCTTGTTTTATTCATAAACTGTCTCTCTGTGACAAAGAACTGACAGGAGCAAAGCAACCTGAAACCATGTTTGTTGTGTCAACAGACTGTCCTGTCATAATTCAAAGCCTGTTTCTCATCAAACACTGATAGTGAATGACTTCTATGATGCAAATGAAGAAAAATCTTTGTGCCTTTTGGAAAATCATATGTAAATGTGTAAAAATAACTAAATTTCCTCCTGAAGTGTGTTAAATACTAAAGCTCAAAGACACATTTACATCTCTGAAGTACCTTTATCCCTTCATCCGGTTCATATTTTTTACAAGTTACGTTATTTCAACTTTTTTATTTTATGTGATCGACCAACACAAAGTTGTAAATTTAAAAAATGGAAGACAAACAATAAAAACATTTTTTGTTTCAGCCCCTCAAAAACTGCAGATGATCTAGTCAAAGTTTAGACTGAACGTTAGTGTTTACAAATGCTTTAAATTAATATTTTATAAAGAAGAATAGCTAAAAGCTTCAGGTCTTGCTGTGCAAAGTGGGTAGAGACTCAAAACACTTGAAGCAGTAATTGGTAAACAACAACAGCTTGCACTGGAGGCTAAGTGAAAAACTACACCATTTTTAAGTAGATGTTAAGTTTCTGTTTCTGTTATGTTTTTCTTCTGCTCCTTGATTTCTAGTGTTTAGTTTTCTTTTCACCATGTTTCTTTATCCTAGTTATTTGATTATTATTTTGTTGTTGTTTTCGTATTAGTTCCTGTCTTCCAGGTTTTCCATTTGTTGTCCTCTGCTG